GCTTAATACGTGGATACTCTTGATAGTATCTGAATTTCATCTCATTAACTTAAATTTCTGTTGAACTAAAATACTTTTTGAGTCCTTCAGTCTACCTCTGAGAAGTTGAATGGTATCCAGTTCACATAATCATCAGATTTTTGATTTGATCATATATGTATCATCGAGCTTCCACCTCAATATAGCCTTCAAACTCTGACAGTTCCATATGCTTTCACGTGTCCCATCTTATCGATAATAATGATCATATCATCCCATTTTGATGCGACATTATGCTGGAATTTTTCGTATATTCAGGAACTTCACCATTTTTAATTGACTAAATTTCAGTTTACTAAGAAATGCAATCAATTTCAGCTTGCATCGTGCATTTATCTTCGATCTTCGCCCTCTATCGTCTTCCATACGCATTCCGTTGTGTGCTCATTTCAGCCGAATTCGCCGTCTTTATCCTTGTCTTATGCCTTTTTCCGTCATCACTTACTACGCCACAAATGATCAGGTTTCTTTATTCATTCGTTTGACCAGCAACTACCATACTAACAGACAATGAGATATCAGATTTATTTCCTGAAATAACTCATCATGTCAATTGATCATTAACTGGATGATTGATCTGAAATCCTGGGTAACTATGCTATGAAATCCTCAAAATTGATTGCTGGATTCTGAAAAACCNGCACGAGCAATGAGTTTTGGTTGAAAAAAGTGACCTCTGTACCAAAGTCATTAGGATTCGAAGAAATGACAAAGTTGTGCTGATCAGTCGTGTTGTCTTCATGCTTTAATGTTTTGATCATTTCGCCCGTATCAAATGACAGGTGTCGCCTTTGAATTCTATGAAATACTTTCAAATTACTATCACTGTTGTTTACTAATCACTTTTACTACTATAATCACTACTAAGTACTACTAATTACTATCACTTTTACTATTATAATCACTACTAATTACTACAAATTACTGTACTGCAATCACTTTTCAATGAGATTCCCTAATCAAATGTCACAGAATGTTCTTAACATTCCATAGATTTCAGTTACAATTTAACAGTGATCTGCGTTGATATGATATTTGTCTTTCTGCTATTGCTATTCATCGACTGGATTGTAAGTGAATTAAAGCAGATTTTCATGCAATTTTTAATTTTTTCTCTTCTGCTCGAAAAATAAACGATTTTCACGAGCTCGTTAATTCCCCGAATGGCTCAGTGAGTTATGTGAGATTGTGTGGTGATAAACTGGTTTACAATCGTCGACAAGTTGTCATCAAATGACTGCCATATTTATTTCAATTGGATTTTCTGATGGAAAGCAACACCGGCAGAGATTTTGAAATTTTATCGATCCTTTGGGAGTGAAATCTGAAGCAATTCGAGCAGCTTGTCCATCTATTTGCTTGAAACAATTCAACAATTCATCAGCATTGAGTGCCTCACTCACATATGTGTCACATTCAAATGATTCAGCGAGATTGATATTATATTATCATTGATACTACTCT